CATACGATACAAAAACTCTTAAGTTATCGCTTAACGGCCAGTGTAAAGCGGGTTGTTTTATTTTATCATTATTTTTTTTCTTCTCTCTCTCGCTCTCTTTCTTCCTTCCTTCCTCCCTGTTTAAGTACCTGAAGAAGCTAGCTCTGGAAAAAGAAGCTAGCTTTGATCCGTATATGCAAAGTCTGAAGCCGGTGTGGAATTTCGGTGAGATCGAATCCACGATCCGTTCTCACTGGTAGCAATCGAGAAGCCAACAATCAGCATGCAACCTTCAGCAATCGGAAATCGTGCTCGTCGAAATCATACCCGGCTTTGATCCTTGCCTCAAATGCAATTGTCCTCATTTTTTTCTCTTTCTCTCTCTCTCTCTTTTTCCTGCTCCTTCTCTCGAATCCGACCCGGATTTGCCTTAACGACTTGAAGACTACACACCCGTCTATGATAAATGCGATTGGTACGACTAAATTGGATGGCGAAAGGCCAGACTATCACCGACGAATCGAGTGGTACACGCGCATCCGATGTGAGCGTGAGCTAGAAGCTATCTCCCTTTCCCATTCAAAAAATACGCATCTCTATTTGGTGCGAAACACTCGCTCGGAATTTTATACACGCGGAGACATGCCCGCTCTCGACATCTCTCCGTAACTCTCTTCCTCCATCGCGTCTCTCTCTTTCTCTCTCTTCGCCTCCCATTTTCTTTTTCTCTCTAATGTACAGGAAGATAGAGCTTGTTCTCTTATTTTTAGCGCGGGAATAAATATATTGAACTTTGTCCTCGCTTTATACAATGGCTCGAGTGGAAACGCGATTCTTTCTTTCTTTCTTTCTTTCTTTCTTTGGGATACGCTCCTCGCGCTGTGTAACGAAGAAATACTGAGAAAGCCGCGAAAGGAAATCATCGTCATATATAATATTATCCAATGTAAAATAAAAGAGACGGTCTACGAAAAAAAGGATCTTGTTCTTTAATATATTAATTTATTAAATAAAAAAACGCTTTCGGATTCACTTTCTCTCAAAACTGAAAAGTAAATCCTCTCGCATCTCGGTGTAGACCGCCTCGATTACATAGAATCTAATTTCAATAAATCAGAAATAAATAAAGTGACATAGTCTATCTTGTCTCGCTTAACGCAAATAAGAATGCAATTTTTTTTCTCAGGATCTTCTCCCTCTCAGGTGACAAAATTAAATCGAGGGAGAAAAATCTTCGGAAGAAAAATGCGTAATCTAGGCCACGCTACATGATCGAATTAATGCAATGTCGATAACGAATCTGTTAGATGCGCTTTTTAATTAGCGCTTCTGTAGTCAAAAAAATATAGCAAATTAATATAAATACTACTCAACATATTTTATTTACACATATTTACTCATATTTATTCTCTTACAGAATATTTCTCCCCGTAGCTAAAACCCACATTATTTTCAATGCTCCGAACTGTATACAAAATAAAATTGACTCGGCTGAAATGACTGTAGATACAAAAAAAAAAAAGAAAAACGAAAGAAGTGTTGACGTGCTTCTTCATGAGATGCGATTCGCGTTTTCACGCCGCGAGATCATCGAAGTTCGATCATGGCTCCTCAAAAAGTTCCACGCTCCAGAGCCGCGATAATCGAGATAAGCTAGGAAGAGATAAAGCGCACGAGGTAGGTATCTTATTCGTTCTTTAACCGAATGGGAAACTGAAAGGAACGTATTTCGCGATAATTACATTTGTAACGAAACGATTATATCACATACATCTCGCAGAGAAAATGATATTAACCATTTCATTGCTAGTGTACGTGTAGAATGTGTAAATCAGGAAGAGATAACAAACACAAAATTATCGATTATTCGCTTATTTAGATTCTGTGTACAACACAGTAACAATTTAAATTGAAACCAACTGGAAAGATTTGCTGCAGTCTTTAATGGTATCGTTTCGCCGTTATTTTGTTAGAAAATTGTATTATAATTGTAACATCTGCGATTATACTAAATTCGACAGAAGAAATTAGAAGTTTCTCTTCAGTTTCTATTTCAAACTAATTTTAATTAATTATATATATATATATATATATATATATATAGATATATATATATATATATATATGTATATATGATCTTTCTCTACATCAGATATGTAATAGTAATATATAGTATACAATATTATATTATTCTTAATTATCTTAAATATAAAATCTAATTATCAAAAGGAATAAAGCGATTAAATCATTTTGTAAATAACAAAGAAAACGGAAAAGATCCACAGAAAATTGTTTAAGATTAAGTTTAATTACAATTTACATATTCTACACGTGTATTGCTGTTCTCGCTTTCCATATCGATTCATTACGCGTTTCCCTCACGCCTTTTCGGCAGAGCCTTCACTTTGGTTCATATCACGTAATGAGATACTATTCACAGGAACAGTTACACCTCGATTACTTGAAGCTACAATATCTTTTTCTTTTCTTGCAACATCGAAAGAGAACAGAAAAAGAGAGAAAGAACAAATCTCGACGAGTTTTCTACATATTTATACATATATATCGCGCGCCGGGATAAAAATTTGGAATAGATAGCGCCCGACGATGTTTATCGTAACGAAAATGTTAGGTGAATTCATACTCCCACGCAGCCTGTCCCGTTCTCACGAGCTTTTACAAGTTACAAGTTTAAGAGTAAGTCCATAATAAAATTTGCGGGCACTCACACATGTTTTTTTTTTTCACGATAGCACACGGAAATACGATATAAATCTATCATTCTCATCTGAAACAAAGTGAAGCGTTTTTGTACTAAAGTGCAGCGATATATATATAATATTATACCTTTTTAATTAATTATCTACGCAATGTACAATCGTGGATTTTTACATGCACCATGACAAGGTATGGTCGGGCCGTACAACAGACAGCTGTTTGAATGATCCGTAGAATATGTTATTGCCACTCCACATCTTTTTTTTCTCTCGTCCGTTTCATACGCCTCACGCACTTGAATCAGGCGTATCGTAATCTTATTCAAAGTAACCCCGCGTTCTTCGAGGGTTATCGTCTGAGAGCAGAGTGCCGAGAATTTACAGCGATATAATTTTTTCTCTATATAAAGTTAGAGTTATACAGATATACAGATAAGCATTACACGAAAGGCAAAGACGATGCATCCAAAGGAGACCGTTTATGCACGTCCTTGTTACTATATCCTAATATTCCTTCGGAAAGAGAACTCTATTATTATTTGTCTATTCAGTCTGACCACACCATGTTACAACGTGGAATAGCTTTTGCCATGATAGACGTACTATATAGGTTGAATTATATAAATTCAGGCTCTTTCTCTTTACTCTGCGAGGGATCTATTAACGGTCATTATGATTTCGCTTGCTGCTTAACGGTTTGTCGATACTCATCGCCTATTCCTCGTCACAAAACGACTTGACTAGATTGCATCGCTAAAACGGTCCTTAACGATTTAAAATCTAAGTCTGCCATACATAAATGATCTGTACCTTATAATCTAATATCGTAATTAACACCTAATGGTACAGGGATGATCTACTATTATCGACGAAAACTCTATTTAGTAATAAATCGTATGTCTATTATACTCCCGTCCTCTTTCTTTCTTTCTTTCTTTCTCTTTCTCTTCGTTCACGCATACATTCATACATATCATATGCACGACGTGAAGTATATAGATCCACTGTTAATTTAAACTCATAAAGAATATTTCTTTTATTTGCACAGCTGAGCCTGTTTGCCTGCTTGTCTCCCTGCCTACCAGCGTGCTAATGCAGCCATCGAATGTTCGATAGATATTGTAGGATAGTTTCACGAAATTCTCGCGTCTAAGCGCGCTTTTAATATTTACAATGCCAACGCCATGGATCTCGCAATCCACAAGCAAGCAAGATCGCTTGCTATCTGAATCATATTTTTCTCGGCGAGAGGCGTATGTCAAACCCCCGACCTAGTTTCGAAACGCCCGCATCGTCGTCGCTTCGCAAGCCACCGTGACGATAACGACGACAACACGCTAATGATATAATAATACGTTGCGATGCTCGCGCGAGCGTTCGATCGCTAGGACTACCTCTTCTTGCCAGGTTGTTTCGACGATAACCGCTTCTTCAGTTTGTGATCTGTTGACTTGACCGTCGTCGTTGGCGTCGTCTTCTTTTTCGGTCGCTCCGGCGAGCCGTTGCAGCACGCGCAATTCTTTTTCACATGGCAACGCAGGCTGGATCTCCTGGCGCGGCAATCCGCCGGTTCCAACACGATAGTACTCGCTTCATCCTCCGATGCTTCCGATGCCTTGTCGCTCGATACTATCATTGACTCTGTCGTCGCTATCGATTCTGTCTTAGAAATCCGTTTAGGAAGCGCCGTCGTTGCTGCTGTTATCGTTTTGTGATCAGCGCGACTCAAAACTACTCTCGCGGTATTCGCCTGCAGCTTATCCTTTTTTTCATGTAAGTGCAATGCCGCTCGGAGGACAAGGATTTTACCGTCTGTACACTGTCCTCGAGACCGTTGCTCAACGCAACGTTGTCATCTAGCTGACTGCCGATTGATTCGCTGATGCTGGAATCCTCGTCGTCGCTGCTGGACCTTGTGCGTTCGGACATTGGGCTCTCCCACGCCATATACGAATCCATGCGTACTTTAGACGACGGCACGCGCTTTTTGTTGGCATACGTATACTTGTTGTGCGTGGACAGCAGCGGTCCAGCCGCGGCTAATGGTGACAATGGCGATGGTATGGTATGGTGATCCGCGGCGTTACCACTCAGTAAAGTCAAGCTCTCGTCACCCGAGCTTGCTGCCGAGATGTTGTTAACGTTTATGCTGGGTGGCAACGATTCCGAGTCCAAATCGATGTCTAGCTTTATGTTTGATGGTATGCTAGATACGCTGCTGGGTGTACCTTCTTTCGAGCCACTTGTCGAGGTCAGTTTCATACGATGGCCACTCATGTCTTTCGACGAGTCATTCTCCAAAGAGCCAAGATTCGCCGGTGATAGCCTGGAAATATCCGAATTGCTGTTTGACGCCTCATCTTGACTTAAATTATCGAGAGTCAGTCGCATATGTTTCGCTGGAATGCCTAGATCTTCCTTTTCTCGCTTTCCTCTCTTCAACGAATCCTTCAAAGTTCTCGAACGTTGACTCGCGGTCTTCTTGCGCTCGTTCGTCTTAAAATCGTTCGTCGGACTGGCATCTCTGCTGCCGCTAGATGAGTCCAGCGATCGGAAGTATGAGCTATTGTACGGCTTCATGCTCAGGGATTGACTGCAGGACGCATCTTGCGAGGAATGATCGAACGACGGCGAATGATTTGTATCAAATAGCAAGTCCGCCTCGGGAAAGAGTTCACTTGTGCTAGGCTCGTCGACTCCTAGATCTTCGCACTCCTCCGACAAACTCTTTTGCAACTTAAGTTCGCGCTCATACGCTGTCTTCCTCTCTATTCTTTGCTGCATCAATTCACGATCCAATCTGGGAATCAGCTGTGTCTTCATCAAACTATTCTTATTGGAGTATGAAGCGTCTAAAGTATGATTCATAAAGTACTTTTTCGCATTCGATTGATAAATCTGTCCGCCCGCCATCTCGATGCCCTGGCCTTTGTTGATAATCTGCAGCACGCTCTCGGAATTATCGCTATCCCTGCAATTGATCGTGGCCAGTCGAATTCTCTCTCTTAAAAATTTCAAGATTTAAAAAAATTATGACTTTAAATAATATTTAAATCTAGATGGAGACTTTTTTATAATATGCTCATACATATAATCCATATCGTTACCTGGAATATGCTTTCAATGGCTCGTTGCTCAGTGTATTCATTGACGTAGGAACGTATCTCCATGGCGTATCCGGCGAGATCTTTCCCTCTGATTCCCAGGCTTCCTGCAGGCGTGCATTTTCGTACAACAGTCCATTACCAACTTTGCAGGATCCGTCCATCGTCTCGGTGGACTGCTGTACAGATGATTCCTGGCTATCAGAACTGCTCGGTCCACCGGTCACCAAATATTGCGACGTGCTATCGATAACGCTCGATTGCTTGTTCGTGGTAATAATAGAAGACATAGATTCTATAAGAAGAATAATATGCAAAAATTATTAATTATTAATACATATGTAACATCTATGCAAATTGATAAGTTGTCTACAATGTAAGTTATTCTAATGTATTGCGTTCATCAAAGATTTGCGAGTTATGAGCGCATTTATACAATATAAATAATATATAAATAATAATAAAAAAATAAACACTTGCAAAAAAGATGAATAAAAATTTATTTTTATTTCAATTTTTTAAAATTTGAATAAAACAAGTAAAAAAATGAACTACTTATTACACAGAGTAACAATTTATACATCATTCGCTGTAGAAAGACAGAAATGACAACAATTGAAAATTTAAAAGTTAAAAAAAGAGTTTGAAGAATGAAAAAAAGAGTTAAATATTATAAATATTAAGAATTAAATATTATAGAAAAAATTAGCAAAAATAAACTTAGTACTTAACTCTGTTTTCATTTCAAATATTTAATTAATTAAAATAACAATCAAAAGAACAAAAATAATATTAACACAATAATTAAAAATTATTTCTTTATATATTGTGTCTAGTAATAACATAAAATATATTATATAAAAATATACTAGCTTCTAATGCACAAGAAGAAAGTAAAGCAGCCTTTCCACCACTTGTGGGCAAATCCTTACCCATTTTTGTATTATTCTGTAACGTAGAAATATTTGTGGAGATCAAAGCGACAGGTTCGGGCCTCGGCGATAGGTTTTCCTGTATGCCGATAGCGTTATCGAATTTTCTCTTTACTGTTTTCGGAGAAATGATTTTAGTACCGGACGTTATCTCGGTGGACGCTTCCTTCGTGTCTTTCTGTTGTTGCTGAGTTGCGTCGTTCAGCATGGAGTTCACATCAGCTTGCTGAGTGAAGGTGAGCGCAATGGTCGCGCCTGATTGTATGGACATCGGTTTCTCGGTGTGTATTTGTGCATCCTGAGAAGACTTCTTTTCTGGTGAAACCGCAGAAGCTGACGCGATGCAGACCACGTTTTCCTTCAGAGCGCCAGGTGCCGATGACAGTTTATGTATGCTCGAGTTAAAGAACCTTGTGCCCTGCAACGTTGGATTGCTAGTGATAACGCCGCATATCTGCTGGTTGTCTGATATCTCATTAATGTTCCGGGTTCCGATCAGGCTGAGAGTAGGATTGCTTTTGTTCACCACGATGGCGTTCGTCGCCGCTGATTCAACCGTGATCGTGCCACCGGCTACCCCGGGTTCATTCTTTAATGTTAGCTCACTGATCACACTGGGCTTATCCGGCGTCGACACCGTCATTGTGGCAGTTTCTCCAGCGAACTGCGCGCTTCCAGTCTGCGATATTACTACAGGCGTGCTCTGAACGTTTTGTGCGCCAGTTAGCGTCTGATTGTTATTCGATAACGTCTGCAGAGTAGGCTGCATTTTCATCTGCTTGACCTGTGATTGCGCGGGGATAAGTTTGCCCTGATTGAGGAAGGATTGCAACAGCAGGGTGTTGGAGACCGAAGTACCGCCGGCAGTGCGCACAGTCGTTGGCATCGTCGCGAGCAACTTGGAGCCAGAGACTATGGTAAACTGCTGAGTGCCCTTCATCAATGGTAGCACAATACTGGTGGGCATCAACACCTGGGCGCTGCTCATCTTACCCGTGACCGAAGCGATAGCTTCGCTGACACTCACCGAACCAGATTGCAGCGCTTCCTGGACAATCACCGCGCGCGGTTGACCAGAGCCTGGCTCCGTAAATATGAGATTGCGTCGCTTTACATTCATCTCGACGCCGTCGTTCGAGTCGTTCGTCAAATTGCGCACTTCGGCACTTGTCTCCGTGCTAATTGACGGTTCCTCTGGAGCAGAGAAACCGGCCGGACTGTCCTGCACGTGCCCCACAACTCCGCTGGAGGAATCCTCACTGCCCATAGTCCTACCGAGATCGTCCGTACTAGGACTTAGTTCGGAAGTTTGCTGTCCCACCGGCTTGCTCTTGCTGGAGCTTGATTTCTTTCTCTTCGACGATTGATTCGGATTGGTTGGCGGATTGGATCTTCTGCGCGGTGCTGGTTTATTATTGAGGTCCGGTGAATTTCTCAGTTGCTCCGCATACTCGTCGAGAATCGCGTAGATCCGTTGGGCAGTCTGCTCGTCCTCCTGTGGTTTTTGCTGTGGTTTCGGTATCGGCGATGCCTTGGACGTGTTGGTAGCGCTGCTCTTAACTGCTTTGGGCGTCGATTTCTTCACATTGGTTTTAGCGGAGGCGACGGTTCCGACTGTGACAGATGGTGGCGTCGATGGTGTTTTGCCAGTCGACGGTATCGGTGCTGGCGCCGGTGTCACGCACGGACTTGAGGAACTCTGCGACGTGACGCTCAACGCTGGTGACGCCGCTGGTTGACAGTAACTGGTAACCACGACCACTGGTGTTGTGGAATTAGCCGCCACCTTGGTGGTGCCGCTGTTTGGATTCACATAGGCCAAAGAGACCTTCTGTGAGTACACAGAATCTTGTTGGAATGTCACAGTATTACCGTTGCTCGCAAATGACTCGTTCGCGCTGGACTGTGTCGGCATCATCAGTTGTTGCGCCAAAGTGCTGACGGATATCTGTTGTTGTTTGCTTGCCTGAGTCTGTTGCGTGGTGGTTTGTGTCTGCACGGCTGTTGTGGTTGCGTTATTTGAGATCGATTGATGAGTCTGTGGCTGAATACTCCTCTCTTTCACTTGTTCCAGCACGCTCTCAAATTCTCGTAACTGTTCCAAAGTCGTTGAGCTCACCTGATTGTTTACCTCGATCGGAGAACCAATCAAACTGTCCGTCCTTACACTCTGTTGTTGCTGCTGTTGTTGCTGTTGTTGCTGCAATCTCGGCGTCAGGACAGCCTGAATGGTTCCCGTCAAATTCTGTTGTCTGGCTGGTGTACGGATAATGTTAAGCTTGACCACGGGAGTTCTGCCACCCGGTATTGAATTGGCATGCGATATGATGGTAGGTGGGATGATGTTGAGCTGATTAGGATTATTGCCGGGTATTACCTTGTGCGTATATATAACGCCAGTGTTGGACGAACTGGCGTTTTGCACGAGTTGCGTGAGCGTTTGACTTGCACTCTGATTTGAATTGATGGAGGCATTCGTGGTATTACCGGAATTCGGCACAAGATTAACTATCGACCTACCGGCCGGCAACTGTAGATTAGGAATAATCGATTGCACATTTCCAGTGTTTGCTTGTTGTTGTTGCTGTTGATTATTCGGCACAGACGTCTGCACCGCTTTCGACAAGTTCGTCGTCGTTTTCTGTGCGGATGTCACCACTGTTTGTTGAACGCCGCTCAGCGGTGTGTCTGTCGCGGCACTGGCAACGCCACTTGCAGTCGCATCTGTTGACAGAGTGTAAATGGAAGTTTTGCGAAAAGCCTGTTGAAACTTGGGCAGAACATTCTGGCCAGTTTGCGACGCGTTCTTCGCGGTGGAACTGCTGCCAGTCAGTCGATCGTATGTATTTCTGTTGGACGTTGCGCCTGCATCCGCGCCACGTTGCTGTCGCGTAAAATTCGTGCTACCGCTACCGTCCTCCAGATTTTGCAAGCCTAAAAGATTTCTCTGATTGGACACAATTTGATTGGGATTGACTGACGCGAGGTGGTAACTGCCATCGGGTTTACAGATGACTTTTAAGGATTCGGACGTGATGGACGTCGCGATCAATCCACCCGAAGATGTCGTGGTTGTCACCGTTGTCATTGTTGTAGCTGTAGTCGCGCCCGGAGAAGGTGATTTTTTTGGCGATTGATTATTCTGCTGATTGCTCGCACGACGCATCTGTGTTATCGTTCGTACTGGACTCGCCGATTCGGCAGCGACAACATCGAGTTGACGTACCACCGAGATGCTATTAGCAGCCATCGTCGTCGTCGGAATCACTGGACCGACAGTCGTCGGCGATGCAGCGTCTAAAGTCTGATTGAGCTCCTCGCCGATGGTGTCTGGCGTCCCGAGATTCGACGACGATCTCAACGGCGGCGTCTGGCCAGCCGGACTCATACCGACGCCACTGTCGTGGCCGCCTGAGGATGGAGTGCCTGGCAATTGTATGCTACTATTGCCACCGCCACTGCTACTTTGATTGCTAGCCACGCTTGGAGTGCGCGTCGGCCGCGGCGGCGTGCTGCCACTAACGTTAATAGTTGTCGGCGTGCCAGTGGCGGAACTCGGGCTCTGTGGCACGCCGCTCCTGGAGAGCTGGACAACATTCACTGTGGAGCGCTGCCGCGGCGGCACCATCATATCCAGCGAATTTAAACCCGGCACATTTTTAGCCAATATATCAGAATCCCTAACAGCCTTCGCGAGAATATCAAACTTGGTCTTACCCAAGTTCGACTTGACGGAGCCGAGATGACGATGATGATCGTGACGGCCGTCGATCACAGGACAGTTCAGACTGCTCTTGCTACCGGCATTGTTCTTGCCACTCGCGACACGCTCCTTTTGTTTCTTTTGATACGTTATTACACTCTTGTTCGGTGAAAATGGCATTGTCTTCTGTATGTTAATCAGTTCACTAGTAATGTCACCGCTACTCAACCGTTGCTGCTGCTTTTTACTACGGTTAGAAGTCAGCTTACGATCAGCTTCATCTGCGCGCGTCAACACAATCTTCGGATTCAGATTCAACGTGCTCAGCATTGGCGCGAATTTCGCAATGTTATTCGTCGCTTGTTGTTCAGCATCTGTCCGACCGCCATTAGTATCCTTATTCTTATTTAATAGATTTTTTTGCAAAATCTGCGAAATTGATGGCTTTTTCGAGGTCTGTGGCCTAAACATCCTGAGAGATTTGAGCACTGCTGGATCACTTCGCCTTTCGGTAATGATTAATTGTGCGGCGGCGGTGTATGCCGATCCCTTGATCGTCTCGCGTTTGTTTTCGTCCATGTCGGCAGAAAAGAGAGTAATAATGTCATTGCTGCTAACATCGGAGCCGCTGGCATCCTCGTGCGCGTTTGTATGCCGCGCCTCTTCGTTTACTAACATTTGAAAATGGGAGACAGACTCGACGGTAAGCTTCGATGTTTTTGAACGTTTCTTGCTGGACTCTTTGCCATTGGATTTATTAGATTTCTTTTTGGTTTCCAATCGACAACCGTCACTACCCAAACTATCAGTCTGACTGTCTTGTGTGTTACTATCGCTGTCCGATACCGAGCTAATTCTATTCCTAAAGTGCTTTGGTTTACGTTCAGTGCTGTCATAGTCACTCTCGGACGATTCTAGTCGATGAATCTTGCGCGTTCGCGCGGTGCGTCGCACGTGCAATACACTACCACTATCTGAATCTGTAGTGGTATCGTCTAGACTGCGACGCATTGAAGAACGTTTATAGCCGGCCGCCGGCTGGAAGCTACCATATTGCTCGGAACTGTCGGATGGCAGGTCAACCCACTGCTCGTATCCTTTTTCAATGCCGAAGAAGACGTCCTTTGTGTCATCCTCTGATGGCCAATCTTTAAACTGCGAGTAATCGATGTTCAGATATTTAAGTTCCTTGTTCGTATTACGCATCTCCTCAGCATTTTCTAAATATCGCTCGCATAAAGTCTTCAATTCCTTCCAGTCCAACACCCAACTAAGCATGTGATAACGTGGACTACTTAATACTACAGCTAGATCGTCACACAGTTGCGGCGAGAGACCCAATTTTTCACCGTCTAGTACTTGACTAGGTACAGACTTCTCGTCGTAATTCGCCGAGCCTGTCACCGCATCTCCTTTGATCAGGATCAATGCGTCCAGTGTTCTCTCCACATTGTTGCCCGATGTTGTGCTGTCTTTGTTCAATTGTGATTTATCGTCATTCAGCTGATTATTGCCAGTAAATTCGCCACAGTTGAAACAGAGCTCGCCAAGATTGGATAAGGATTCCGCATTCGAATGTAACGGACACCTATTACCAGTTGACGACGCTGGTTTTGTTGTTTCAGACGACATCACATTAGAATTTTTTGTCGTCAGCAAACTCTTCAACAATTGATTAGTTTGTTCAAACGTTTTCGTTACTTGACCGCTTTGAAGATCCATGCCTTTGGCAGCAAGTGAGTTTTGATACGGCAATTGCACTTCTGAACTCAGTGCAGGTGTTTCCGTAACACTAGCACTTTCTATCTCGGATTTTATTTCGACCTTCTTGGCGGATATAGAATAATGATCGTCTTCTGTAGCATCTACAGATTCTTCCTTTGTTTCTCCTCCACGATCTATGAATTCCTTCTTGATAGCTATTTCTTCTATAATTTCCATAGGTTCCTCCTTGATAATTATTTTTTCTTCCGAACCGCCATCTTTCTTCGCCTTTCCACATGCCACTGCCAATTCTTTTATTCTATCGTAACAGGCTCTGGTAGGATGTAAGGAGAATGCCGTCAAAACGCATTCTCTTGCAATGCCAATATTGCTGTCTACTACGTCCGCCAATTTGAGGAATTGCGTGCTCAAACGCTTGGCGGTCTCGCGCACCTTGTCCTTGTCCGATTTTACCTTCTGACTCTCCAACTCGTTCATATCTGTTGTTAGCGCTCTGATGTACAATTCGATCACCAAAGGTTTTATACTCTCGCCAAACTGTAATTAAAAAAAATCCAAGAAAAATAATATTTGTTTAGTTGAAAGAAGATTATTTAACTATTTGTCTGTACACGATAAGAAGATAAAATCTATTTTTTTCTATCTATTTTATTAACTTTTAATTTATTTAATTCTTATTGACAATTCCGTTCGTGCACAATACAATCTTTCATTGATAATTCCAATGGAATAAAAATTATATTTATTTTTAAATATTTTCAAAGTCTTCAAATATCTTCAATTTCATTGATTGAATCTTTACTTACATGTTTTGCAAGTACTGCACAAAAGATATAAATATGTTGAGCACTTTCCGCGGGTTCGATTAATTTTCTGATCATGCCGGGCAGAGTCGGTGCAACATCCTTCAATTTTGCGTGCAACAGCGCCCAAGAGTTCAAAATCTGCTCCAAAATATTTGCACCGGTTTCCGATACCGGTCGAACCATTCCGGCAGTAACGAGATACTGCGCGACCAATTCCGCGGCCTTTATCGAATTTCTCCAAACACGCGCTGTTCCATACTTCGTTGGCTTCTCACCGCTAAGCCTTTGGACCAATTCAAGCCCGTCGTTGAGGTCCATTAATTTTAACTGTAACAAAGCGCAGTTATGAATACCAGCACGGTAGTATTCACACAGAAACGCAAAACACGCGTTTCTTCAATCGCGAGAAAGCGAATTAATCCTCCAAATGCATCGCTATAATTCTGCCTGTCCACGAAATACAAGCGGTTTGAAAAATATGTTTTTAAATTTTTCCAAATACACCCTTGCACTTAAGCAAGGGATCTCGGCAAATTAAGGAAGTAGGTCGATGTGACTCATGGCAGAGTGATCTGACATTTTTCGATGATGCTCTTGGAACATTAAATGCGTCAATCCCGCTTCTTCGAATGAGATAAATTTAAGAATAATCGTCTGAACTCTTGGAGAACTATATATTTGTATTTTGGAAACTTTTGATAATTTAAATCAAACGAGTGCCAATCTGTGACAATCTGATATTGATGTAGTCAACTTACTTGAGCGAAAATATCTTGCGTGCGTTTCAATTTGTACAAGAGGACAATGTACACGTCGATCATATAGTGGACGTGATGAGACTCCGAGAGCGACCGCAGCTGATCGCTTTGTCTGAGAGAGCGCACGCATGCAGCGGCGAGGTTCACCGCTATGTCCTCGCAGCGGTCCTCGCAGAGTATCTTCAGTCTCATCGTCAGCAGCTCGCCTTTCTCCGAACAACAGAATTCTGAAAAAGCGCGTACACCATTCAACAATACGTCAATACTTGTCACGGGATGCGAAAAATTAGAGATCATTGACAAATTCAATGTTTTTTAACTCAATTATTAAAAAATTCTCCGGAGTAAAGTCAGTCAATTGATTTGAATTGTCTACAAGCTCTACTCGCTTTCACATAATTAGTTTTCAACAAAAGCAAGTTTTCGTACTTATATTTTACAAAATGCGAAAAGGATGAAAAATATGAAATCAGAAAGAGATGAAGTTTTAATTACATTATGTAAAAAAAAAAAGTGAAACTTGTTAATTCTTAATTTCTTACTACTAGTTTTTATAAGATAAAATATTGTTTTACTATATTGTGATTAATCGCATAATATTCTACTCATTCAAATGTAATCTATTTCCAGGATCAAAGTACTCGGAAACAACAGACAGGTATTTGGAAACAACATACGGTTATTACTTCAGACATTACAATGCATCAACTATTAAATTTTGTGATTAATCAGTAAAGTGATGAAATGTTTTACTGTTATTAGAATTTAATTAGTATTTTAATTTTTTATGTTTTACTCTTGACTTTATAAGTTATAGTTCGATCGGAATTAAAATAAAAATATATTGAAACAGATGTCATAAAACGGAAAAAATTTTCTCTTTAATAATTAATAATTCTTTAATAATTCTCTTTAATAATTGTATGTATCGATGATATGAATGTAAAAGGAATGTTTGGTTTTCTCTGTGAATTCGCAATGCACGATTGGGTATTTAAAAATAATCAAACAGAGTTAAGAAGTCAAAAGAGGCACAATTGAGTAAATAAAATAATCTCGTTAGCGACTCGTTTGAAGAACAATTCAAGAACACTCAAGAACAATTAAGAATTCAATGCACAAGAGACAAATTATTGTCATTTGTATATGTATAATACTATTTATAATACTATTTTGACTTAATTCATCACTTACTTAATATTTGCAAATAAAATTGTTTAATTTATATTTATAATTTTATTATACAGATTTGATATAGCACACAAAATTAGATATCCAAACGCGACAAAATGTGAGAAATGAATTTCTCTTTAATACATTGAACTGCGAAGTTTTTGAAATTCCTGTCTCCTTCTCCAATTTTATTTTTTAAAAAACAAATAAAACTTTATTCTATGTACTAAAAATACAAAAATACAGCAGCAAATATATACGTATATGGAAATGGAGAGCAATTATTTTTCTCTCTTTTTCTGACAGGTAGATTCTTAAAAGTAGGTCTCCTTAAAAGTAAGACTCCACATCCACTGTGCAATGCATTATAGCTAAGGATTAAAGGGGTACGCGTATATTTACATTTGTTCGCGGGCAACCCACTTTTCCTCCAAGATTGGACGGAAGATATTATAAGACCAACGAGAACGTGACGTCGAGTTTTATTCAAATTAAAAGCAGAACTGTGCTATACCAGACGTACATGGGAATGGCGCCAATAATTCATTCTCTACTTACCCTCTTCATGTTCGGAATCCGGTTGGCCGTTAAGTATGCTATCGAGGACGGGATGCGTCCATGGATTGTTCACCAGAGCCAGCAGGGCGGTACACCTGAGTGCAGCGGGATGTTGCACCAGCTGAGACGCACACCTCTGCAGCGTCACGCAGAGGTGCGTTTTCGCGACGGGTGCCAACTTCGGCCACTCCCCGCGCAATACCAATGTCAATGTATTTCTGCGTAACGAAAACAACAATGTGAAAGAGCCGCAATATGAAAGAAAACCGGCAACGTGTTTGCGCGGGTTTGTTTTCGTTTGCCTTACGACATTTTACGATCTATGTCGACACCTATCGTGAAGCTAAACATATTAAAATAAGAAAAGAAAGAAAGGAAGAGAAAGAGAGAGAGGGAGAGAGAGAGAGAGAGATTTGCAAATAAGAATTTCTATATATTTTGACTAATTTTCTAGATAACTTAATATCCTTCTTTTCAGTTTATTTTTAAAAAATTAATAACAAGGTTTGTCTATTTTTAACGTTGTACTAATAATATCTATTAGATTATGTAATATTATACATTTTAAAACGAAAGAAAGAGAATTAATTTAGATCTTATCAGGAATAATCTCTTTCTATCTGTGTTATTAGCACTGGTAAAGTCGAAAACGAAAATCTTGTTGGGATAAAATTGAATTAAGAGTCGGACTTATTAATTATTTGTTCACGTCTAATCCACCCACGAGATTTAATTCACCCACCGAAAACAATGCTGAACGGTTCGCTAATCAGACCTCCGTTACGGGAGACTGGAAACTTCACGAAGAATAATGTTCTCATGCATCCCTTTTGGACCACCCTATACCTCTGTAGGGTGCCTCGGTTGTATACCCGTCACGTTAACGTGAATTTGCGTCGCATTGCTATTCAAAATTCCGGGATCGTTTGTATGATGGTACTACATACGTGCAGATTCATTACTCTCAGTGCAGTCGCCCTTCCCCCCCTCCTCTCTACCTCTATCTTTCTCGCTTCTCTCTCTCTCTCTCTCTCCCCCCCATCACGTCATCTACCGTAGAACGACGCCGTTACATCGAAACTCGTCTCACGCTACTTTTATGTTGTAAAAGTTCTGGTAATACAAAAAAGTCAACTGTGTACAATTCGCATTAAATGGACATGTCATATACACATGTGGATATCTCTTAATGCAATAATGAAGATAATTAAGTGATAAATATAAAAATTTAGCATCCCCATAATTATATCATTGTATAAGTATTTAAATATTCAAATTAAGTAATAACGATAATAATACGATAGATAAGAGAATTCTCGTTCGTTCCAAACTCATTATTTCTAAAAAAAAGCACGTTTTCAAAAAATACACGTTACAAAAATATTCCAGCTTACGAAATTAACGAAGATTTACAAATATTCATCAAGCATATGCTTATTATTCTTTTTCCGATTAAAATATTGACTCTTGCGCCATTATTTCTCATCGAAAGTCGAAAGGGTCATGATTTAGAAATTCTAACACCTTTTTCCAACGACGTGATTCGACAACAGCTGTAATTGATCATAGTTACACGATATATCTTCGCGCCTGACTCTTCGTTAAACGTGTTTCCCATTAATCGAGGATCGGCTGCATAATCGCGGATGCAACAACAACGATCGACGAACTCGTCGTGTACTCACCTGTGAGCCCATTCTATGAGAGACTGGATGGCCTCGGGCGGTGCCGCAGGAATATAATTGGTGACATGCTCCCAGGCTGACAGAAGCGCACTCACCTTGTCGCTGTACTTCTTCTTGTTGTCACTCAGTGTCGCCTCGAGCCCCTGCGAAGCGAAGAAGCCGTTGGCTCGATTAAGAGGAACCGGAAAATCATCGAAGAATGGAAAGGATGCCGAGAGACGAAAATCGTCGTGTCAGCGCTGATGCCGAACGCATCAGTCAGATATCTTAATGAATAGCATCCACGTCTTTCGTTTATTATGTCGAATCCTTCGATATATTTTCGAATTGTCAATTATTATTGTCTATTCAAAGACACATATTTCTCGTTCCCTATTTAAGTATAAATTGTATTTATATCTGTACATATTCGCTATTTGCATTGGCGGTAAACAACCAATATTTGTGCCTTAAGTAAGTCTAATTAATTAACTCAATGTGTTTGTCCGCTTATATATAAGATATATCTTCTAGCTTTCTATATTCCTCGTCTTCGCATCTCTGCCGTTCTATCTTTCCTTTCTCCATCTACATATTTCCGTATACTTAATAAATTAAAATTAAAATGTATAATATATCGCTTTTGCCTTTGCCACTCTGGAGATTAATATTTGATTTCATTAAAGATCTCAAAATACGTTAAATAATACTTAACTTGAAATTAATAATTAATTAATACTTATATTTAATATTAATATTGAGCTTCAAGACGAAAAAGCAGACTATTATGACAGAATTAATCGACATTGATAAATCGACTCATCGGAAGATGAAGAAGACTCGAGAGAAGATTGAGAAATATAAATCCGGATGAGATAGTCGTGTCAAAAAGATCATCGCTAGAAAAAGAAAGAGTTTGAAGAGAGATATTGAAAGCCGTGACCCGGTAGAATGTTTCTTAAGGAATAGTACTTCTTTAGTGTTGCTCGATCAGCATACTCGACAATTTTACGTCCGCGAGATGACGTGTATTACGTAAAAAATACGGTATTGTCGCGTGTGAGGAAATAGCTTTTGGATTATGCAATTTCTTCGAACACGCTACTTTCGCGAAAAGAAGATTATCCCTATTGCGAAGTAAGGATATAAGCTCGAACCTAAAGCGTGGCTTCGAAATAAAGATCAGCAAAGTTTAAACGAGACAAGAGAATTATTTCGAGAAATGTACTCGTTGCAAAAATAGAAAGACATACTAAAAATTTAAACGAGATAAAAGAATCATTTTGAAAAATGTACTCGTTACAAAAAATAGAAAGACACGTTAAAAATTATGTAAAAGAAAAAAAACAGATTTGATTTAGAGTTGTGAAATGATGCTGCCAAAATAAAAAGAATTGTGTTAAAGAAGCTTAAAGCACTACGTCATACGTTTCTCTAATGTAAGGACATTAATTTCTAAAAATTCTTTTCATTTCGAAAGAGTTAAAAGGGACCCTACTACAGCTATGCACTGTGTTTCTTTCAGTAGAAAACGCGGCCGCACATAACAAGCGTAATAACATTTATCCAGACGACTTTGAAGCGACGTTCTCTTGGCAAACAATGTTTACCAAGGACCACGTAGTTCCGCGGAGGATTGATAACGTGATTAAAGCTGCGGAGTTATTCGGGAATCATATTATTCAAAGCAATTATCCGCGCGCCCTAAGGTTCATGCAAGACGATGTATGAAAAAAAGTATACTAGATTGCAAAATAAAACCCATTTCCTTTATCGAGGATTTTACATGAGAATCGCAGAACGATTTGTCACGATTTCATTGGATTTCCCGCTCACAGTTTGCGAAGAAAAAAATTATTTTCATTATTTCATTAAAAATGGCTACATTTATCGCAACAAATAATTCATAGAAAATTGTTTGTCGATGACATATATATATGTATAATAGAGAAATGTCAAAAAATTTGTCCTTATAAAATTCAATATTTGTATTTAAAAATACGTCCACATTTTCTTTTAATCTCGGTATTTTATTGTTAGATAAATTTGGAGAAGAATGTCTGATGTTACAAAATAGCGCTACAGAAGATTTAACGTTATCAAGATAGTGAACATATTTTGGGATCGCAATATTCTCTCTTCGGCCACGGGATAAAAGCTTATCGTTCGGTACACAACGTGAAATGCATCAGCAAGAAGATTTGCACGAATCCGATGCACTACCGTAAACATATTAGATCGGATGAGGTGCAGCAACAAACCGCAAATACCCGGCGATCGAAACGAAAATTTGACATGGCACTGGCAAACCCGTCGAGTAAATGTCAGCCTTGATTTCCGTTCGTTCTTTTTGTTAATTACAATTCGATGCATCTCGCTTTTGCAAACGTTTCATCGTGTACAGGTTACATAAAAATGCGCCAAATGCGCAAAAATGCCAAGCGGTTTTTATAAATAAATAAATATAAATTCGCTCACATAAAAAAATAATAAAATCATTAACGAAGCTCTGAAAATATTTCGGTTTTGAAAAAAATTCTCGTTTATCGTTTAATTTTATTATTAAGATAATAATCAACATTAACTGAAAATTCATGTTACCGTGTCAATCCCGCAGAATTTTTCTGCTTTCATTGTCAATTATTATAACTAAAGATAGACAGAGAGTTATGTTACTCCGTTCACATATATAACGTTATCATCAGGCATGGAAAGCGTTTTTCCTTTGTTCGCAAACATTTCTCTTCACATATTTGAAAGGAGTATTTCCTCCGTCAAGAGATGGAGAAAATATGGAAGTTCTTATCTATCTCAGCGAAGTCTTTATGTCACATAATATTATTCTGTTTGCTATCTTCTGGCATGTTTCACTACGTGCACATTTACCGCGTCAAAGGATAAAGATTGCCAGAAGAACTAATAATGATATCGAAGACGAGAATTGAAGGATTCAATGTAACGGAGGATTCTACGTAATAGACGACAGTATCATTTGCTTTTGTAGAGTCTTAAAGAAATTAAATTAACTTCATTTTGACCTCGATTACAAGATTAATGTTTCGCGCTAATAAACAGGACGCACCTTTAAAAAATATTCTTGTCCCTTGGAGCTCGTGAACGAACCACTGTGCGCCGCTGAAACCGATGACTGAAGCTGCAAAAATAAAACAATAATATTAGAAAATATTCAGAAATTAACTTGATAATCGAAATATCATTTTCCCTTACGCTAAGATTAAACCTCAAGACCTAGTATATATTTTATTTTAGACGTAGCATTATCGGACTCGATATTTCGAGGGGAAATAGATAGTGAGGAATAAAATTAACATTTAACAGAAGAAGATATTTTTAGATAAGGAGCGACGTGGCTTATCCTAGAATTGTTCCGCGTACAATCTAATCGGTCACGTTCGCGCACATATTACGCGAACAATGAGAACCAGCCGGCATTTAATGTTGGAAACGCATCGCGAATGCCGCACACGAAGTCGGCGCAAAACCGGTGTGCGGCCACGCGAGGTAAGGGAGAGAGCGAAGGGAAAGATGTCATCCCCGAGCCGAGCGCGACGTCATCGGGAGACGTCGCGACGCATCGCGACGGGGAATACCGCCGTAGGCGGTATTCCCGGCGATGTACGACGTATCCAGGTACTCGACACGTCGCCCACAAATTCCCGGCGAATGCGCCTGATGTATCGTGCATTCGGAATACCGAGCGATGTGCGGCGCGCGCGAGAGATTCTCCCCGGGTGCGAGGGGAAATGGGTGAGGGATGGATGGGGCGGGGGGAGAGGGAGGACGTGCGTGGGAGAGCGCGTCTTTGCGCGCGATCGGCGAAAAACCGCGAGACGTGGGGTAAACACGGTGAGAGACATGTCGGCGAAAAGAAAAGGAGGGATCATTTCATCCGGGGGAGCATTTCATCATGATGGATTACGAGGCTCATACCTGAACGTTATATCTCTTTGCAGCGTAAAACCGCGAGAGAAAATCAGATTCCTCTGTCCTCGAATCTTTAAAAGAAGAGAAATGCGTTTTCAAACAAAATTAGTGTAAATAATGTCGGATCAACCTTTGTGAAACAAAAATAAATATATTTCTTGCGAAATGGATTCTCATAAATATCCAAACCGGAGACGCACTTTTTTCACGTACAGCTTTATGAATAAATTTCTAATTATTGCATATAAAACTTCCTTACGAAAATAACATGCCGGCTCGATATATCCGTGCAACAAGTTTTCGTAAATCTTTAAAGGCCGCGAGCACGCGAGATTATTACGGCGAACACTGCAGTATGATATCCTACCTGTACGATACAACAACGGCTACGTCACAAATCAATCGTAATGTTGGCTTTTATTATGAAATACGGGTCAATAATATTCTTCCGGGGCAATTTCCTCCTATGCTTCGTATGTGTGCGGGTTGCGACTGCAATATTTATTCTACGTTGAATGCAATCAGTACAAAAACGTCACAGTCATAGTTTCGACACTTTTTTCTTACGCCAGACGCTTCATTAAATCTAGCGTGGCAATTTAACATCCTTTTACATCCTTAAATTATTTAGCTTCAGTGTGATAAAATAGAGACACTTTAAGTATTTTGCATTTTACAGTTAAAAATATTCACATTATTTACAGGATGTCCCAATCTGCTGGTCTCCGTGCTATTTTAATGTCGACGTTTTTCCTCTTGTTGATAGTTTTATTTTTCGCCGTACGTAATTTTCCCTCCGCTGCAACTTTTCGAGATACGTCAGACATTTTTATGCAACTCCAATTTCATTCTAGCTTATTCAATTTTTTTTTACAAACTTTTTGCTCGTGATCATTTTAGTTTTAATCCGCTCCATTGCGCGCATTCGCAATGTGTGAGTAAGTTTCGCTCGCAATCCGCTTAGCGTTATCATGTGACAAAAGCATCGGAAATATTGAGCGCGACCCAGGCTTAATTTCGCGGCATTTATCAAAATCGATTTATCCGTCGGGATCGGCCGATATCATTCGCGAATCTATGGATTGATTCGACAGCACGACCAACTTTCCGGAGAATTACGAATCTGGGTCAAATGGATCCACCGCGTAATAACTTTTGAGGTTGACATTGAGGCAGCGTGAAATTCCTCGAGGCTTTCATCCGCTTGAACGATATTACGAAAAATGGAATGCTTGCTTCTGTCATATAGACGGATCTCGTTCATGGTATATTAATACTATTATTATTATCAGCCTGATTTGAATTTTACTCGCTAAAATATTTAATATTGAGAAAATAAAAAAGACATGTTTAAAAATTAACTAAAATTTTTTTAAGTCGAGATATTAAAGGAGATATTATTCCGTTTAATACGTGACATTTTTTTCATTTCACCCTGTGAAAGATTTACAGAATTTCGCTACGTTCCTCTCAGAGCGCGAAATATTTTAATTTAATATTTTTATATGGGACATTTATTATAACGCGCAGGAAAAACTTGTAGGTCAATCAAATGTAATCCAGATGGCAGTAAAAATTTCCAGGAGCAGGTGCGACACTTACGATTTCTTTTCCGAGCACGCACGCTGCCCGATCGTTAGACCGAAGCTTTATTCGAAAGCACAACTCGCAAGCTCGGTTACTTACACAGAAAATCCCTCCCCTCCTCCTCCGCTGTGTAACTTTGCCCGTTTGCAACTTTCGTGTTGCGCACCTCCGCGAGTCTCTCTTCTCCGAGGAGGGAGAGGGTCTCGCTCCTCCCCCCCTCCCCCGCACTCCTCGATTTCGTTTTCTTTCCGACGAAAACGATTTTACGTCCTCACGTAACAAATCCCGCAGACGACGCGGGAGAGAGACTCCATTAATATTCCTTTTCTCTCACTCGTAATTTCCTTTTCACAATTCCGAAATGGACAAACGTTAGGCGATAGCGTCTTCGCTTTTCTGCAAAGTGCTATTTCACGAGACGTGAAGAAACAAGCTTATGACGACGCGATATAGAACGGCAAGGCGTCCTTCTCAAAAGAGATTGGAAGTTGAGTTTTCTTAGGCAGACAATACGTACAAAGTCAGTTTAATTCTGACGTTGAAGTAAATGTATACACTGACATTCTTTAACGATCAGGCAAATAATAATTGTATACTCGGATCAAGCAGATTATTTTATTTTGAAATGTACCGCATCGCACAGATTTACAATAATCTATAATATCGTTCATCCCTTTTCGCGTTATTTATGATTATACTTTATGGTATTTTCATTTTCCGATATTTAATAATATTCAATTTTTTAATTAAATTATTAAAATTAAATTTATAGTTGAATTAAAATTTTTTATTTATATTTCATTTTTTTTTATCAAGACAACTTCATTATAAATTAATTGAAAAAGCGATAATTGAAAGGTTCTGCTATTTATTGATATTTTTAACCTTTAACCTATAGCGACATTCGATCTTTTTATTGGATAAATTTATTCCATGCATATCTTGAGACTTTATTTAATCTTTTTGAAGAACATTTATTCTGAATAAAAAGTCTACTCTATTTCGAATAACAGTTTCAGAGCGTTGCTATTCAAATGCAAGATCAAATCGTCGATACAATAGAAACAATTCAACTTCCTGCTACAACAATTTCTCGATCGAATTTGAGTTAAACAAGTATTATTGTTTACCGAAGTACCGAAGTATAGACATGTTCAAACATGCGGCAAACATGTGAATAAAAATTATAACGGCGATGGAATTTTAATAAAATAAATATGTTGTACAAGGATTTTCCGTAAAATTCATTAACATTAATAGAATTGTTGTTTCGTATAATTGCAAGTGATTATTATTAATTTGCTATGTATTCAATGCGTCATTCAATACGCAATGAATGCGTAAATCGTTCAATATGTAATAACGCAGAGAATCGCGTCAGAATTCAATTATATTTTTCTCATCTTTTTTAAACAATTTCTTTGAAATGTAGTATCATAGTCATATGTTATTGTAAAATATATAGAATAATAATCTATTGAAATATATTTCAATAGATTACTTCATTTTCTATTTCATTTACACAAAATCAGCTAAAAAATGACTAAATCTTACATTCTAATTATGCCATAGTAATAATTGGATTTTGCTTTAGAGCACAGATTTAATTAAAATTAAAATAGTTTTTTAAATTGTACTTTCATATACATATATACATATATGTTATATTTTTATATTATTAATTATTTTTATGTAATTTTATACAACTGACCACCTCACAATACTTTTTGTTTTCTACATAAAATTTAATGTAAATTCATATAAAATTATAAGTATTTAATTCTAAACAAAAAAGACAATCATTTTCTCCTCTATCAACATGTTCTGATTTTTACCTGAAAACTAGCTTTCCATTAAAGTGGACAGAATAGTTGCAACTTAGAAAGAAAAGAGAAGACTAAATTCCCTTTATATATTATTGGAAATAAAAATAAATCCCGCAACAACATAAAATACAGGTCGTATCGGTTTTCTAATTTAGCGTAGCATTCAGTCACTCGGCAAAGCCGACAATCGATATACGTGCAATTATTAATAAGAAACTACTATTTTGAGATACAGTTAATTAATTATATTTGGAGAATACTGATGTCTGCCGTTGAAGGAATGGCGCGTGTCGCCGACACGTTTGCGATCTCATTCTCGATCAACAGCCGATACGTCATCGTCAAAGGGATATTCGATATCTCGCAAGGAAGTAATGCGGAGGGATTGATGCATTAAAAAGACGAAACAAACAATCGCTGATTCATTCGGAGTACCGCGTTGCAATATGGTCGGATTATTAAATGCAATAATATATCCGACGATATATTTACGAGGTTGAAATTATAATTTAATTATCTGGGAATTAATGAGCTTTCTAATTTTCTCCCGATATACATCGAAAACAACAATTATTATCTATCCGACTGGTTGAATCCCGTTGAAAATTGATTTGATTCCAAGCATGAAAACCAGTAAACTAACGCTGAACTTGAAACACGAGTAATTAACATTATCATACATGACGCATCGTTTTCAGTGCTTATCTAAAATTTCTACGTAATAATATTCGAATTAATATCTAAGTTCGTTTACATCGCTCGCGAGATAATCCGATAAACATAAAGCAATTGCAAT